ACCAAATATTTTTAGGTCTATCTCTACCTTTCTTAACATAACCCAAACCTAATACATCTACTCTCCTAACTGGATCATTAGAAGGATGTCGTTTTATGTCACCAAATCATCTAAGGCAACTCGCTCTAATCTTATCTTCCATTGGAGCTACTCCAACCTTTTCACGTAAATGCTCAATTCACATCCTATCTCTAAGAGTAAATCTACTCATCCAATTGAGCATCCTCATCTCTACAACACTTCTTTTAATGGCCAACATTCTTCACCATAAAGCATTGCATGTTTCACCATCATCTTATAGAATTTTCTCTTAAGTTAGAGGGGAACTTTTCTATCACACAACAAAACCCAATGCATTCCTCCACTTTAACCATCCAACTTGAATTCTACAAATAATATCACTATCTATTTCACCATCACCCTAAACAATAGATCACAGATATCTTGATCGCCCAAACAAAATCAGCCCACTGGATCTATTACTACTAAAATTACAATCCATATATTTTGTTTTAGATCTACTCAAACGAAAACCATTAGACTATAATGTTGTCCTCCATAATTCCAGTATACCTTCGACTCCCTCTCTAGGCCTTATCAACAAGAAGAATATCATCAGCAAAAAGCATACACAAGGGTACAACCCCGTGCAAATGTCTAGTGAGAACATCCATGACTAAAGAAAAAAATATGGGCTTAAGGCTGATCTTTGATGTAATCCAATTGAAATAGGAAAATACTTGGTCAAACAATCTTGTGTTTGAACACAAGTAATAGCTCCTGCATATATATTCTTAATGACTTGAAAATAAGCATTATAAACCTCTCTCATTTCTAGAACTCTCCATAGCACTTCTCTAGGAGCTTTATCATATGCTTTCTCTAAATCAATAAAAAATCATATGTAGATCCTCCTTATTCTCCCCATACTTCTCCATCAAACCTCTCAATAAATGTATAGCATCCATAGTAAACCCATCCAGCATGAATCCAAATTGATTTTGAGAAACATTAGTATCACGTCATAACCTATGCTCCATAACTTTCTCCCATAGTTTCTCCCATAGTTTTGAAATATGACACATTAACTTAATTCAACTATAAATCGCACAATCTTGTGCATCACCTTTATTCTTAAAAATCCTACAGTTCGATCTGAACAAACTTGCCGACTTATGGAACTAAATTGTCCCTTCTGAATTAGGTTTGTCCGAACAAATTTTTTGTTTGTTCAGACTGTAGAGTGTTTGTTCGGACTATACAATGTGCATCGTATAATATGATTTTCATAAAGATGGCAACTCAGAGCATTGGATCAGCCTATTCAAAAAGAGGTCAACCAGACATGCTCTTTTTTTGTTTGAACTGTGAGATTGAAATCATACAGTATGAAATCAACTCTGTTTCATCCACTTGATTTCAAGTTCCAAAATAGGTAATTCATGATATAAAGTCGTACTATATGAAGTAGTTCATCCAATAGGAATAGTTCAAATTTTAAATTTACCTATTTTTTAAAATTTCAGGATTTTAACGATATGAATTTGAATAGCAGATTGTTTACTACGATCTAAATCATACTATACGATTAACAATGCAAATTTTAAATTCAACTTTTTTTATTAACTAATGCCACTTTAGTTTTAGAATTTATAAAATTATCATTGATATCATATTAAACGTACAGTATAATTATGACAAAAATCAAATGCAGTGGTTAAATCTATTTGACCTTATACTTTCCTTGTGTATGTGTGTGATTGTTCAAAGCACTTCATGCCTAACATACAAAAGACTAAAGAAAAAATAAAAATAAAATTTATACGTTGACACACACTTTATTTCTTGGGATTCATGATGCAGACGAATTTTCTTCATGCTTGATTCTTTAGGCTTTAGCAAGTCCTTTATCAAGAATTCATCATATAATATCAAAAATTTTCAAAATGTAAGCATAATTTTTAAAACATCAAAATTATTTTCAAGGAAATCTATTTGTAATTTCAAGCATTTTGATATATATATATATATATATATATATATGTATGTATGTATGTATGTGTTACAATTGCGTTTGTATTATATTTGCATATTTCATTGAGCTTTAGTTCCTTAGTAGTGGTGGTACTGGGAAGGAGTCAGTGGGATATTAGGCAAGAGGTTAATTGTACTTTTATGTACATACATTTTGGGTGTATATAGAGGATAGAGTAGAAACTATACAGACAAACTTTTGTGTATATAAATATTATTTGAAGGTTTAGTAAGCTTTGTATTTTATTTGATGAGTTTTAAATATGCTTTCAAGCAATTTTTGGATTGCAACAAACAATAGACAATATTTCCAAGCGATTTTCAGGTAATTTTATTTACTATTTTAATGTATTATGTACTCATTCATTTCAAATTCAGTTTGCTTAGTACTTACTACACTCATGTAAATCTCAGTTGAGTGGTGGATTCAATTTAGTGACGGCACTCTAGAATTACAGCATTATACTATAAAAGTTTTGGGATTGATGTGCTTTCATCTGGATGTGAACGCAACTGGAGCATATACAACCAAGTGCACACAAAGAGAAATCATCTGATAACCTTAAGGATGAATTCTTTAGTACACATCATATACAATAACAGACTTAAAGACATGAATTTGAAGAAGAACGTATTGAAGGATGACTAAAATCCTTTAATTTGTGAAAATATGAAATCAAATTATGAGTAGTTTATAAATGATAAGTGGTTTGTAGATGATGAAGTAGAGGTAATACCATATGAATCACAATAGGAAGATTTTAAAGTTGATTTCTTTGATTGTAAGAGAAATAGAGCATCTACATCCACCACAATCCAAGCACCAAAAGAACAAACTAAAAAGGTATATAAAAAATTTATTTTGTTAAAGCATATTTACTTTAAAATATTATTCATCTTTATATTGATGAAAAACATTTAAGAAAGAGGAAAATAACTACTAGAAAGGAAGAAAAAGTAGATTATCAAGCATTGGACTCCACAAGTAATGAAGTAGGGGAGAGCAATTCATTATGACGATGATTCAAATAAAGACCCCTCAGTGATGACAGTGTAGACGACTTCTACGTTGTTATGCCATTAATATTTCTTTTTTTAATTGTCGATGAGAAAGATAGTGAGAAATATATGATTAGGAGTTGAACAATATTTTATATTGTTTGGTTATTGTGATGTTTGGATTTAAATTAAATTTAGTGCAGTTTATTACTTTACACCTTATGTCTTATGCGTTTTTCTGCTTCATATATATGACAATTTATTTCTCATCTTTTGATCTATTGTTTGGTTATTATAAAAAAAAAAAACATTTTGACTATACACAATTTTTACATTTTGAGGCTTACGCCTCAAAATACTTTGAGACTTACGTCTCGCCCTACAAACAAAAAACGCCTCAATACCCAATTGTGCAATTTTAAACCTTGGTAATTAGTATAACTAATAATATATATAATCATTAAAAATCCTAGTGCAAACCAAGCTCATGAAGTTCAACATTATGGATAAATTTTGTATATTTAATAACCAAAATCGAAAAATTTTGATATTATTGGACTGAATTAGCCACATACAAATAATCAAAGGATTATTTTAAACTTTTTCCCACATATCTCAAAGGGGTCATCTTTATAGCACAACAAAAACGAAATTCGTAACTTTTCATAACCATCCAAAATTTGGTCTAAAACTAAGCAATCTCAAATTTCTAGCCTAAATAGCAAGTATTCAGTCCGATGTTGGTGACAACGAGTAGTTCTTTAGAAAAGGAAACAAAAAGCCGAAGTGAATAACGGTAGAAAACTGTAAACGGATGTGGCTCTCAAATCTGATACAAGCTACAGTGCTATAGGACATCGAATGCAACCACTACATAAGGAGAATCATCACAGCACTTTACATGTTTTGCATGAGGCGAAACAGAAGCAATCCATGGATAGCACCATCAAGTTAAAAGTAAAGACGACACAAGGATTGGAGCAGAGTTACAAAGCAAAACTCGTGAAGGAGACAAAACAAGACAGCGAGTTAAAAAACACAATCCAAATCTGTAGCCTGAAAGAACAAAGAATCATAAGGCTAAACCAGGGAATATGACAAGCTGAATCAGAACACTTGTAGTAGGGAACGAAACCACAAAGATACACAAAACACTAGAGCTTATTTTCAATAGAAACAAAATAGGTGTGTGACATCAAGAAAAAAAATCAAACAAGAAAGCAAAAAAGTAAGTAAATTAATTAATTAATTAAAAGACAGCCAGAACACCAAAATTAGAACGCCAATGTGCACGCTGTGATGTTCCATCTTCTGATTTATGCAAGTATAAACTTTTAATTTTTCATCACCATGCATGCTACAAATTTGATATTATATTATACTAGGGCATAAGCTATTTACCCAAAATGTTTAAATTGAAATAAAACGGAGCTTCAAAATTCATATTTACACCCAATTATTTTAATGCGTCGTACTTCAAAAATATCCATCATACTTCAACTTAATTTATAAGAGAAAATTATTTCCAATAAGTGCCTAATTTTGCTCAGCCAAGCATATTGGTGCTTTGGGAATTGAGTATTCAAATCACCTTGAGAGCATCGAATACTTTTGATAACACTAGATGCTGTGCATAATGTTGAAAATTCAATTCAACTCAATTAATTGTATAAATAATTTTACCAAACCAAATTGTCATAAAGCACCCCAAACGCAGGGAAGGGCATAACTTAGATATCATTAAGAAAACCTTTGCGATAGAAGGCAATTAATATTGTTCCACAACATACGAATTAAGAGCAAAACAAGTTCTGCACAAAAAAAATAAAGAGAGATAATTCACAACATGAAGAACGAAAGTCTGGAATGACTATAAATTATAGCAACAATTACCATGTTGCCTATCAAATCTAAAACTTTAAGGTTGAAAATTAACGAAAACGTGCTAGATGAAAAAAATAACGGACCTTCATAGCAGCAGCTATGCATCTTTCGCTAGTAGGGCTCGAAGTTTTACCAGAATATTCCTTCCATGATCCAGCATTGCATCTGGAAAAATCAGGAGTAACTGGCGAATGCAATAAGCCATAAGCAATTGCGGAAATCTGACCCCAGAATCCAGTCATTATGCTTGGATAGTTGTGTGATATGGCTTTCAAGGCCTACAAGCACAAAAGAATATTAAATTGATTATCAATGGATTTGTATAAAAGTCAAGTACAGTCATCATGATAAATACATATATGATAATATGTAACTTATATCACAGCTTAAAAACTGAGGAACTTGCAGTATGAATTATCACAAACACCAAAACTTTGATCAAAAATTTTTAACAATATAAACATAAAAGAACCAATACATGTGATGATAGATGATACGCATATCAAAATGCAATGAAAACAATTCATTCCTAGCATTGTAAGTTCACTAACGAAATATCGAAATTCCCGCATTGCTTTCCAACCATTCAGATATCCTAGTAAATGAAGAACCTTCATTAAAAAACAAAGCTGCAAATTTAGAATCATAACTAACTAGAAAATATGCAGTGCTATAAAAGAAAAAAAGCAACACGCCAAATTCTAGCAACTTCTACACCAAAATAGTGAAATAAGATCAGTTCCTGATGAATATTATTTTGACATCCATATGAGCATTGGCAAATGCTTTCAAATGCAAGAAACTTACAGAAATATTAAAAAAGTGAGAATAACGTTTAATTAAACTAAGCAGTACTATAACCTGGAGGGACTCAAATGTAATAGCTGGATGTATTCCCAGTTCAGCAAGCTCAATCAGAAGAAACGGTGCACTCATTCCATGTTGAGATACGGCACCTGGATTAAGTTAAACAATGTGGAGTTAAAGTTCGAAACAGCATAGAAAATCAGAATAATGGACTTTTCCTCATGCCAGGGTGATCCATTATTATTTGAACTGAGATATTATCAAAATTGTGGTATCATTAGAAAATCGATGCAATGTATCCCTGGTTTTTTTTTTTTAGTGTCGCTAGCTTTAAATATTAAATTGAGATATTGAATAGTTAACCGTTATTCTAGCCTTCTTTTTTCTGGTGATTGTTTTAGCCAACAAGATGAATTCTATATAGCACCAACCAGAATAAAAGAATCATATGATATGCTACAACCTGAAATGTCTGTGAGCTAAACAAATAAAGCTTGCTATCAAGAAAATAAAGTGCCCAAGATGCCAGTGGCCAAGAAGTGGGGAAAACATGGGTGAGAAATCCTCTTGAAAAGAAGATGGAACAGAAAAAAAAAAAGTCAATGAACAAGAAGTTGGCACCAGCCACCAACATTAGAAACCAGCCTCAAAATGAAAAATATCTTGAACAAGGAAATTCCAAAGAGAATAAAAAACAAGGACAAATTGCAACAGCTTTCTCCTTGCTGTTTCAACCGTCCAAACAGCAAATCAAACATAAACAGGTATTACCCCAACTGAGGCTTATTCTAAGCTTCGTTGATAAAAAAGATATATTCTCATATGCTCTCATTGCAAATTAAAAAAAAAAACAAATAAGTTGATAGAAGATTCAAGAGCATCAGCCATATTATAATAGACAAAAAAGGTCATTCAGAATTGGAGCACATGCCAAGAAAATTATAAGTTACAGATTGCAGATAGGTCACAATCAAAAGTGATCGAAGGAAAATTCTAGGAAATATTAAAGAGGAAGACCAAACCTACAAAATAATTAGAAGGATAGCTGCTAAAAATTAGGAACCATATTTAGAAGAATATAGACAGGCAAACAACACTAAAGGAGTTGTAAAGTACTTTCTACAAATCGTGAACCAATGATGGATATTGTATGGATGCAAACAGCTTGCAAAAAGTTAATCAAACTCTTGGAATTTTAGAAATCTACTGTTGTCCATGTCAAAATCAAGCATAGCACTGCCCCCAATCCCAACATGGAAATTCTCATAGAAATAAGGATTTAAAAGCTCCTTACTGCAGGTTTTTTTAAGTGTTTGTCTTCAGCACTTTTCAACATAGTATAGGTCTTATCTCCTTTAATATTCCTATTATTGACCTCAACAATTATCTCAAATTTGATTCGATTGAATACAAAAAAAAAACCACCAGAGGATGGATGCAATATCAAACAAAATTGCTACAAAATGACTCGGCCTGAATTAAAATTATCTGATCATCGCTTGTATTGTGAAATATACCACGTTAATGCATCTAGGTTATTAAATATAGTTTGGATAGACGCCCACAGTGCTTAGGTCACACAAAGTTTACCCATGCATTAGGATACAACGGCAAAGAAGATCTAAGAGCAAAGGTCAACTTATATATATATAATTAAAATTAAACTAATAAATAAAAGAGAAAATTAAAATTAAAATTAAATATACTTATTTATATATAAATAAGTATATTGACGCTTTTGCGTGCCTATTCTAAGTTGACTTGAAATTGTAAGTTCGTCGGTAAAAGGTTGATCATGACTATGTCATAACTTGTTTATGTGTTACTGAAATTGGGCTATTAGAATGGTTTTCTACTGGGGAGAGATGTGGATTGAGAGTAGAGATAGGTTTTTAGCATAGTGTAAGCAATGGGCTGGACTGGGAGAAGAAACAAGGGTAAAGGAACCTTGTTAGCATTCCATTTGATCCCAAATGGCAACCAGGACTTGGACAGAGAGAAGTTATCATGAAGAATCTTCATGAGAGAAAATCAGTGTGAGGAAGTAAACAGAGTCGAAATGGAGGGCAGGAGAGATTTTTGTCTTCCAGGGAATGAACAACATACCAGGTATATTTTTTTAACAAGACAATAGGTCATGACTTTGGAGAGGGGGTGTTGAAACCCCATAATGTTCCAAGAAGCTAAACGGGGCAGGCGTCTTTGGATTTATTTTTGGAATTGGACGCCTTTTGGCGGCCTATACCTATTCAGTTGACTTGGGATCTGTAGTCTCGGTAAAAGGTGATCGACTATTGCCATACTTTTTGTTACCTGAAGAATTCGGCTATTTAGAGATGGTCACTGCGGAGAATTTGTTAGAGTAGAGGATAAGGTTTTGAGGATAGGTGTAGTGCGCAGTGGGCTGAGGACTGTGAGGAAGCAAGGGTGGTTAACCAGAGGTTAAGAGTTTGAAGGTGGTGATAGTGGGTTGTAATTGACGGGTAAGAGAGGAAGACGGGCACATGTCTGAGGATCGCAAGGGACAAATTTGTTATTTGTAGGGAGGAGGGGGTGCACCAGACGTGGCAGTGTAGGATGTGGAAAGGAGGGCAGTATCGGGAAACAGTTATCGCCAGAGGGGGGTTGAGATGGTATACAGGTGTTTGAGAGTGGGTGCTTGTATTATAGAACCTAGGCTATAGGTTGGGAATGGAAAGCGGGGAGGTTGTTGAGACCTTTCGTAGTTTACGACTAGTGCTGCGCCCTCTCGGTGGGTAAATAAATTTGGTTGGGGGAGTAGGAGTTTTTTTAGCAGATTCGGTGGGAGCAATGGTAGAAGAGCAATACAGAAATAAGAGCTGCTTCGCCAGTTCATTAGAGCGACGATAAGAGGAGAGATTTTTCCACCACAAAAATGTAAATTTCATCAAGTAAGGAGCATAGCACATCACCTGAACACTAAACACGTGCAAACGTGAGCCTGGTTTGGCCACAGTGAGGGCGCACAACTGCTAAGGGCCAACCACCAACCACAGCGTAGAACCTTGGGGATGTAAAACAAAAAATGGCTTTGTTATGAAAGTGGACAATCTCCAAGTGTCTCCTCACAAAAGCTGAAAATGTTCACTTCAGGAAAATCTGGAAAATTTTCAGGAATTTCTAGTGGAGAGCGGTGAGAGAATTATTAGTTAATGCTAAGGAGAGGTGGGGAGATTTTTGGAGGAAATTGCTGTGAATAACAGGAACAGTTACGGAAGTGACATTTGTTTCCCAGCATACAATCCTTCCATGAAAAGCTGCAATATTCAGATTTTGCCCACAAAAATCTGAGAGAAATTCAAACAGGTTAATAAGAAGTGGAAGGATGGAATTCAATCTTGATCCGTGACTGTCGAATAGAAAATAGAATAGGTAAATCTAGTGGCAGACCTTGGAGAACTCCAGCCAGTAGGGGGAGACGGGAAAGGTGTTGAAGGGCACTGCGGGAATCCAAGGGGAAAAGAAGGGAAAATTAAATTTAAGTGTTACCGGAAGAAAGCCACGTAATTGGGCTGATTGTTTCGGCCAACAGCTGCTTTGGATGGATTAAATCACTCCAATTTGAATTGAAATTAGCAAAATTCAGGGAGTGATAGGGAGTCATTAAGACAAGAATAATGGGAATGCAAGAAGGGTGGGCGGGCAAGAGAGGAGGGGGAAACAGTTGTGTTCACAATTCAATGGATTTGGACCAAAGCAATGAATTGTAATTAATGTTTAAAAGCTTGAGAATATTAATCTCAGGTTCAGTTACAGAAAACTGTTTTGCATTGAATTTAAAATTCAAATCAAAGAAAGTAGGGCATTTTCGGTTTGGGAGCAATAGGGGAAAAAAGGGTTCGCGCAAGCAGAAATTATCAGCTTTGAAAAGTATGGAAAACCATTTCATCTGATTATGTATCCAATAACTGATTGCGGAAAATTCAGCCAAAGAAATAGAGGTAATTTGAATTATTCCCAAAGTAGTCTATGATGCAATTAGGAAATAAATCCTAATGAGGAATGTTAATGGAGCTTGTTGTGTGGATGAAGTTGAGGGAATTTTGGTGGAGTTGGGCGTGACGACGATGAATGAAAGACGATGACAAGGGAAGGTGAGAATACAAAAGCAAAAACCACGAACCCGGCCGTCTCCAAGGTTGTGGGTGATTCGTTTGCCCTTCTCCAAGAGACTTCACTCACGAGCCCGGACCCATCCTGCGGCTGGTGACAAACTTCGATTTCTCTCATAGAAATCTCACTCTCGCTCTCCACAAGAAGAATAGAAAAAGTGTGGAAACAATTTTTCATATAATCACCATCCTCTTACAAGAATAAAGCCATATATATAGGCCAAAAACATAGAAAATAAAAATTACAAAATTGCCCCTCGGGCGTTCAAACAACTCGAATAAAAATTAACCTGGAGGTGGTTAAAAACAGGAAATAACATAAAATAGAAACGTTAAATTCAGAAAATAATTAATTAAATGACAGCTTAAATCAGAGCCGTCGATTGTACGACGCGCTCCTGTGTAGATGCGCCAGATTTCGTCCGATTCCGCATCATTTGGAGGTGAAAATCCGGCGGCCACAAACGGAGATGGGAAGGGAAGAAAGATGAAATAACGAGAAGAGTAAAAAGAAAGAACAAACAAAAAAACAAGTGAGACAAAATATTAAAGATTAGCAACCACAGGAGCCGGCAACAACATTCCTGCGGCTGACGGACTACGTGCCCTTCTCCAAGGAGACTTCACGCCACGAGCCCGGAC